TAGGCCTATATTTAAAATAAATACATTTTGTTAATTATTATTGGTTGGCCTAGGACCTAGGCAGGCAGGCCAGCTTTGTCGTCGAAAGTCCTGGGATTCGACGATGACGTCAGTGCACATGTTTACAAACGCCATTGATTGGAATGAAAATAGACGCGCTGAATTTCGTTTGTTTTATGAAAGATAGTACTTATCGAACATTTATCTGTATAAAAACATGATTATTATTGTAGAAATTGTATTTCTAAAGATTCATATATAATTCATATTTCATTTAGTAGACAATAAATATTCAGTAAGATACTAAAAACGATTATTAATTCTGAAATGTGCATCAAATCTCAGCTATTATTAATCAGTATGTATTAGGTTAAAGTCTTAAAACAATAATTTCGAAGTAGGCCTAGTAAACAAATAATTGTAATTAAAGTTTAGGTTCCCATGACGTCAGATGACGTATTCAATATGATGCTATATTTTTGGAATCTGACTTTAACGATGGCCCTGTCAGTTGTAGTAATGACAATAATTGTGATTTTTTAGCCATGTAGTAAAAATAGTACAAGATGAGAGTCAAGAAGAAGTTCAGCTTCTACTTTATTTTTTAACAGGCAACTCTATTTTTTTACATAGGCCTACAGGAAGATTCATTATTTTAAGTTAATACAAGACAAAACTTCTTAAATGTTTTATATATTATAATAATAAGTACCGGTACATAATTCTTTGTAAATTACTTTGTAGGCCTATAAATAGCTTGTTTTGTTTTATAATAATAAATGTGTTGAGTATATTGATATTGGTTGTGCGATGAGGTTTTTTTTGTCTTTCCGTGTGATTAAAACATGCCAATTATCAGGAAATATTTTCCAATTTTCTTATATTACAACCTTTTATTACATAGATCTTTTTCAAAACATAACTGCTTTTATAACATTATATAGACCCATTAAACACAAAAACTGCTCTGGCTTCGGGGTCCTTAGGCAATCCTCTGGACCCCACGCCAAGAGAACCCCCCCTTGAAATGACCTGGCTAGAAATGACCTGGCTACGGGCCTGCACAGGCACTGTTTGGTTGAGGTCAGTCAACATAGGCCTAGCCACCGGAGGCCTAGGCCCTAGAATGTATGTTCCCGAACTGTTTCTACTTTTTGCGAAGCGAAAAAAATGCGCAACCAAATCAGAGCTCAGGAAACGAACCGACGCTTTCCATTCGCGTGAATAAATTCGCCTAGTGGAAAACCGGCTTTACTGCGACTAATTACAGAATGCATTATTGTAAAAAATGACATTATATATTTGAATAATATAGGCCTACTAGCATTTATTTGTGCATTTATTTTATACTTTTTTACAATTCTCGTGCAACAATTACAAAACTTCTCTTACAGAATGAAACCAAACTTTCTGTGTCGAATGTCGAATTATGACACTTGTACAATAAATAAATAAATAAATAATATTTGAACAAGTTGAAAGAGTACCTGTTGTTGATAATAAGCTTCAGTGGGATAAACAAACCAAGATCGCTCTGGGCGGATGCAGTGGAGTTGGGGTGTAGAACGTGCGATCGCACCCCTAAATCGTATTTAAGAAAAATAATTGTTGTATTGCATTGCTGAAATAAATTTCCGGTAAGATTTTAAAGGTATGAGAGAGAGTGCAATGTTTGCACCCCAACCATGTTGGGGCTGAATATATAAAGATAATTAAATAATAATTAAGTAAATAAATATAATTTATGCTCTAAAAACATCTAAAAAATATCATCTAATATTGACATTCATTTATACATTATTCCTAAATACAACAAGCTTCTGGTAATAGTGCAGAACATTAAATTTACTCATACTTGGATAAGTAATCTACAAACAATTAACATAAAATCGTGTACAACCGTTTTACATTACGTGTCGTTAATATGATGTCGTTGAGGGCGGTATACCAAGGAAAAGTCCATGTCCATCCAAAACAGATATTTTCGTCGCAGCTACAAAGGACGACTAAGAGGCCTAGGCCCTATTCTAGTTTCTTTAAAATATTAGCGAAGAAAAACATACTGTTTCTTTAGTTGTTTTATTTTCTTTTCTGCCATTATTGAAAGAAACTAACGTCTTCAAGAGGACCCTAGTGTACCCTATCAAGAAGAATTTATTGACCGAGCGGACAGATCGGAGTACGGATCGCAGCTGCTTGACCCTACCTACTCTGTACCTAGCTAGCCTAGATAGGCCTGGAGATAGAGTAAACATAATAAGGACGAGTGGTGGGCTAGGCCTAGCCCTGGCTATGTATATTAAAACATGAATACAAGGAGTACGATTTTATGTTATTCTTCTGTTCTTATTTTAGGTGCTATACTCGCTGGTAAGTAAAAGCAATGTAACGATACATAAAATGTTTATATATGGACATATTTTTTATTTTATGTGTGTGTCGTGTGCTGTTGATTGATGAATCGTCCTAGGTAGGCCTATTCAGTGTTGATGAGGTGTGTCCTACCTAGGCCCTAGGAGACAGAGAGGTGAAAAAGCCTTATTTATATTTTAGTTGAGCACTCTGCATAAAAAAGTAGCTAGGTTGTACTATTTTAACTAACCTAAATAACCATAGCTGCAAGCTTTAGGCTATGAGTAGGCATCATATATTATACTGTATATGCCATACTGTATTTAAAGTTTTTTATTTTTGTGTGGATGGATGATCTACCTAAAAAACTACCTCAAATTTGCGCGAAAAAGATCGCTAGGAAAACAGGCACACAGAATGACTACTGCATAATACCAAGTAGGTATACCTCCCTGATAATATGTTGGTTATACCCCCAGATCCTATTTGTAGGATCTGTGGTTATATATTAAGATTAGGCCAAAGCCTAATTTTTGGCAAAATCTGCACGGAAATCGACCCTTATTTTACGAAATGTATTGATGGATTTCTAGGTGAAAAGGATATATTGCCTGTGCAGGCTTTATAGCCTGGTATACAGTATATGTGGCTTGTAGTAGTAGTAGGCCCATATCATCAAAGGTATTGCTATTCCATTAACAATATAAAATTTCATTTTACATTTAAATATGGGCCCAGTCTACACAAAATGCTACATTTCTCTAAATTGCCAGTGACAAAAAGATGTATGTTGTATTTTTTGTGTAAATTTTTATTCTATCCTTTCCCATTTATGTACTCTTTTTTTGCATTGTACTTTAGGTGTTGACACTAGACAAACTGATTTAAATTCTGATGTAGGCAATGGGCCTGTGGGAAGTACAAAGGATGAAAGAGGGAAGCAGACAGAAGATAAGGAAACACAAAATGTTGAAAAAAATAAAAATGTTATTATAAACCAGGATGCTGTTAATAAACAAAAACAAAAATATCAACCAATTGTAAATACAGAAGCTCTTAGAAAAGAACAAATACAACAACAATTACAAGAAACTTTAGAACAATCACAACAACAAATAAAACAGCCATTGCCACAAAAAACGCAACAAAAACAAGCACAACACCAGCCTCATGAAAGTCAACAACAGACACATTTGGAGAACTCTGGAAATCTTAGACTGCCTACTAAACCACAGAATCAAGGGAGCAGTCCGCAACGATTTAAGCAATCTAACCCTTCTGAAAAACTTGACGAAAAATCAACCATTAATCAACCTGATACTCGTTCAACAACACAAAAAAGTGCCAAAGTATCAGATATTTCAACACAAAAAACAAAACAGGAACATGTACATACTTCGGGACACATACAACAACCGCTGCTGAAGAAGCAGGCTTCAGTGGATCAGCCAGCTACTGTCAACCCACTGAATGAACGAACTGAAGCTGGAAGTTCTAGGCCCACAACGCCTAAACCAGCAGTGGAAATTGGTATGTTGTTGAGGATTTATGTTCTGTGCAATACTCAAAGTACCTGAATGAACCGATATCTGTCAGTTTCCTTTTAGAACTTACTTACCTTGAAAATAATGGATTACCTGACCAAACGCGCATATGTAATGCAACAATGTTATGTAACAGGCCTCAATTTTCCTTTGCACTTACCATTGAGAGTTTAGCTTGAAAGTCATGTGCGCATGCTTTCTTTAGCTTGTCAATGCATGCTGGCAAATCATTTAATTTAGGTTTCCGAGAAGGACTATCAAATTGATCTCGCCAAGGCTTCAGCTGACAAGCTACGCAAATGCAGATAGTCAAATAATTGGATTTATTTTTGGCTTTTTGATTATTGTATAGTTCAGTATTCTTTAAAACAAAAAACGAGTAATTTATACAATAAAAAATTATGGTTCCTACCCATGCCTTATTACAGTATGCTTCTATTGATAAAGTACAGTAATCATATATCTCAGTGGTTCCCAACTGTTTTGCATCTGTGGACTGATCTGGACATGCTAAAAAAGTGTTCACGGACCCCCAAGTACTCATTGTCGATATTTCACCAAATGAATAAGATTAAGATGATTTGCCACAAAAGTACACAAAAAGCCATTTTATTATTGATAAAGCTCCTAATGATAAGCAGTACATGTGCATCACATTTTTGTAAGTCAAGAAAAATAATGGGAACATGAAAACCTCCCCAAAATGTTTCGCAAAACCCCTGTGGGCACTTTTGATTGGCGGAACCCCAATTACATAACAGGCTCAATGTTCAATTGCAATGAAGTTTATATAACCTTTTTTCAAAACACATAGTTTCTTACAAGATATTCACAAAATTTACTTATTTAGATGTTGATTAATAGTATAGAGTAAATGAAACACCTGCTCCACAATCAGTGGCAATATGCTGCAATATGGCCCTAGCCTAATTGACATTCAAGTAGATAACAGAATTTGAATTTAAAGTATCCATCATATAGATTTAGCAATGAAATTCCTTGCATCATCTGCTTAACCTCTGACCTGCCTCATTATACTTTATTTTGTAATTATAAATTATATATTTTTTAAAAAAGGAACCATGGTTATTTGGTCAATAATTTTTTTTAATTATTTATTCTTTCTATACCAATTGACTATTGGGTATTCAATAACAAACAAACAAAAACCTATACTAATTATCACCTAAATGCCTAGACCACAATGATGGCTAGATTAAATATATTCATTCATTTTCTTTTCATAATGGTAGCCCTCAAAAATTAAGTGTTGACTCAAAGAGGCCATCAAACAGTGCTCAAAGCTAATACCGATAGAATAAACCATGATATATTTTGTAATACGATTATTCGTAACTTATATAAAATTATTTGTAAACAAAATTAATCATAAATTAATTCAGTTGTAATTCACTGAAAAATATTAATCTTAACCAACAGATAAATATGAAATTATTTACTAATTAAATTTATAATACATCCTAGTCTGAATGTGTTACCTTGCTGCTAGACTATATTATTTATGGTTAGCAGTTTTCCTCCACTAATTATTATTTCACTAAGGTAATATCCAGTGAGCCCCACTGATTCTTTTCCTTGGCAAAGGAGGATTTAGTATTAAAGCCCCAGTATACAGTACCTTGTGAAGGTAGGATTGCTGGTAAGTCCCACTTATCGTATCCTCATGAATGCAGGAGCAGGTAAGCTCCACCCCATGTGAAGGTAGGACCAAATAAGTCCCACTTCATATGGTCATGAAGGTAGGAGTAAAGCCCAGTAATCACCTTGTGATGGGTCAAGGAGGCCCCACTACATCCTGTGAAGTTAGGATTGTGTATGCCTCACTTATTGTATCCTTGTGTAGGCAGGATATGGCTAAATATGCATGTCTATTATTATTGCTGGATTATGTTACATTATTGTTGTATGTATTTTGTCATTAACTACTGAATTATTTTGATATTCTGGAACAGTTTCATTTGATTTCTTGAGTTTGAACATGGAAAGTAAATACTGGATTTATCTCTAGACAAACTATACACCAATATTTTGATTTTGTTTTTATTTAGAAAAGGAAGAGAACCTAGACCCAGAAGAAATAGAGCGAAGAGCCAAAGGTAACTTATAAATGTGATGACTACTTTGTCCCAGTACCTTACCCAGGCATTATCCCATGATATAATTAATGATATTAATGATAATGTTGAGTGTAAAAAAGTCTGAATTTCTGATTAAAGCTGTGGTAATTGTGTTTGATAACCATTATAATTAGTATATTTAATTCATAAAATAATATATATATATATATATATTAGTAATTTCTGATAAAACTGCAGTTATGATTATATTATCAATTAATAAATTAATTAATTTAATAATGTTAATTTAATTTTTTTTTTAATCAATAACTATAATAAATAAATAATTTTTTACAGTAAAAAAACTAATAGATGAAGCATTTAAGTTGATGTTTGAGGACAGAGATGATGAAGCAAAACAAGCAAGGTAAGATCACTCTTACTTCCTAGTCTGCTTACAGGACACAAGGTAGGTGGTCACAAGGTAGGTGGTAAACATGGACTGATAAATAGGCCGCATTGGGACAACGTACAATGGCGCTGTCAGTGTGAAAGTAGGGAAAGTAAATGTTATGATTGGAAAGCACGACCCACTGGTAAACTCTAAAAAAAACATAACTTCTAAGCGTATGTTTGTATTCTTGCAAAAATTAAATAAAATAATGGATGGCCCCTTAGGTTAATCATTTATGTTGTGTTTGTTTATGTTTTGACCCTTCACATGGCTATGTGCAGTTAAAACTAAAAGAGAACTTATTAGTGACCTCAATTAAAGATCTGAGTAACTTCATTCTTATTCTTGTGATTCTTACAGGGGTCTTGAAGTATTGTTAGAAGCTGCACGTCTAAATGACACTGAATCTCAAGTGACCTGTGGTTTTGCATCGTTGTTTGGTAGATATTTACCCTTGAATGTGACGTTAGCATGGGAATTATTTCAAGCAGCATCTGCCAAGGGACATCCAAAAGCACAAGCAGTATGTCACTTTTTTGTTTATATATTTTCTTAATTTTTTTATTTACATACAGGTATCCCTCCAATTAATGACCATTATTTTTTAGAGACCACCTCCAATTATAGACCACATTTCTGCAGCCCCAAAACACACCTATCTTTTATTTATTAATAAATAATTTTTTTATTAGAGACCAAAGCTGCTAGAGACCAGGACAATTCTGGTAGTATTTAACTAGTATTTAATACACTATTTAATTAGATCCCTTTCAGGATCACCATCATTTTTGCTTTGCCCTTCCATAAGTGTTCCTACATCGTGTTGACAAGAGCACATTTTTGATTACTATGTAAGTAGTAATCATTCTAATAAACAGGTTTGGCCTTTGACTTTTCATTTTGTATTTCTTTCTGTGTGTGTGTGTGTGAGTGACAAGGTTTGTAAACACAAAAACTCAAAACTGAGCACACGATCTTACTAAGGCGATGTCTCTGTTAGGAAGCCAATTTCACTTACGAAAGCATAAGTAAACGGCCTTCGCAGACGTTTGGTATTTTATCTGCTTTAAAAAAGTGTATCAAGGTCTTCCTCTTGTATTTTACCATGTTTTCTTTCGCAGAACTCTACCCTGAGAAAAGAAACCATTTCATATTGTGTTTTTCGTCTCCGACCAGCAAATGGCAGTCTTGCTCTGCATTTAATGTTATGTTAAATAGGATGTCCATAGAGAGATAATAATGGTAAAACTACATTTTTTAATTCATCTATTCTTAAACAGGGTATTGGATTTATGTATACAGCTGGAATCAGTACTGACTCAAATCAAGCCAAGGCACTGGTATACTACACGTTTGGAGCACTAGGGGGCGATGTTTATGCACAAATGGCAATGGTAATACTGTTATTTTCTGTGTTATTTTTTTGCTAGTGATTGAACCAGGGAGTTGTTATAGTGACATACATATAACATACTGTATATGCAAACTCCCTGATTGAACACACCAGTTCATATTGCACTGCTGTTGGGGAAAATGTATATTGGCATGATAATACACATAATAATTTTTTTTTTGGTCTTGATTATGAAAGTATAAAGTAAGTAAGTAAATCCTTGGTGAGCTGTCAGGTTCAAGACTGGAGCTTATCCCCAGCTTCTGTAGCGGGAAGCAGATGAGAGTGCGATACTCCCTGCAGGTGTGGTTCGTTAGTCCACCACAGGTTACTCCCAGCAATTTGCTGGTACCCGCTGATACAGTTGGGTAGACTAAAGCAATGTACATAAAGTGCCTTGCTCAAGGATACAAGCGAAATGCACAGCTAAGGATTAAAATCCTGACCTCGACACAGGTTTAACCAGAAAAACAAAATAGGCCGTCCAAAATACGCTGTAGTTTAATGCAACATTTGATAAATTTGAATGATATAAAGAATTTGCTAATATTAGACCAGGCCCAACTAAGCTAAGCCGAGATGAGTAGGCCAAGCCGTCATGGTAAAAAAAAATGATAGTTGGCCATCTAAAAGACGGCCGGACAGCTTGCTGACTAAACTCTTGCCTCAAGGTTGGTAATCCAAACCATTTTCACTAGTGCCAAACCACTTCCACAATTTTGAAAGTACTTTTAGTAATTTTGCATGGATTTTAAAACAGAAGTACAGTACACATAATATATATTAACCACTGAACTCAATGGTAAATTTCATATCTAATCCAAGGTTGTACAGTATTTAAGTTTTATATGAAGCCAACAAGTACAATTTAGACTTCCTTCTCTTTATAGCAGTTGACTATGGGAGTTAGTATAGCAAGGTAGCAGTGTGCAATGTGAATCAAAACAATAACAACACAAACAAATTTTATTGATGTCTAAAAATGAGGTATAAAGTTGACAAAGTTACTTATTATATCACTTATACAAATTGCTCATGATTATCAGTGCAACTAAAACAAAATTTCTATACACTTAAATATAATGGACAGATTAATGTGTAATACATTACTTATTAAACATATATGCAGGAATTAAACAACCCCCCTAAAATTGTTAATATATTAAATTAATTAATGTCACATTTTTATTAGTTTACACAATTGAAAAAAAAAACAAAAAAAAAACAGTCATTCCCAAGGTTTTTATAAACCAAATCTAGAAAAAAAAAACAAAAACAAAACTAATATTTATAAATTTATTTCTTCACATCTATTAACAATGTGTTTTTTTTAGTGTTTTTACAAACATCTGTTAACTTATATATTAATAGAAAAAGTATTAAAGAATGGTTGTCTTTAATTTTTCAGGGATACCGACACTGGGCTGGTATTGGTGTGACACAGAGCTGTGAGGCTGCCCTTGTGTACTACTCCAAGGTCGCTGATAAAGGTGAACTATAAACTACTATAAAACCTACATTTCGTAAAATATAATGATTTCCTCTATCAGGTTTTTTTTTTTAATGGCTCTTGATTTTTATGATCAGAAAAGGGAAGATTAATACCACATGATACGAATTGCATTTAAGGAATGGAAATTCAGATGTTAAATCTGAATTTATATGGTATGAATGGCATTGAAAGAACAGAAATTTTGAGGATGAATCTGAGCCCTAAAAAATTGTAGCACAAAATAGAAGTAAAGTTATAATGGGCATGCTTGCTTTGATTAATGCTCATGGTCATATGGGGACATTTTCAGTGCATGAATTAGACTTTTTAACACCCATTAAAGAAGAAGTAGGTAGAAGTATCTATTTTGCTAGCCTAGTTTAATTTTACCACAGGGAATACCTAGGCTACACTCACACTAGGCCAAGCTGCTTAAATGCCTTGTTTTGTACCTAAAATCTACATTAAGTAATGAATTGTATAGGATATATATTTTCACAGTTGTCGGCTTTAGGTATTTCATATGTATTTTAATGGTAGCACAATAACTTAAATGTATGCTCCATACTTAAATTTAATGTCAATTATATATATTTATAATTCTGAGTGATATGTTGTCTTTTATATAGTGGCGGATGAAGTGTCAAAAGGCATGATGGGAATTGTGCAGCGAATCCGTTTGTTCGATGAGCAAGAGAACCCTGGTAGCAACGGCGCCCTCTTAGATGAGGACCTTATTCAATATTATCAATTTCTCGCTGATAAAGGAGATGTTCAAGCACAGGTGAAATTTCATTTTAAGCATTCAATATTCCAAGAATCTGAGCATTTGGCTGAGAGATATAATGTTCCTGTTTCTTGTGCTGGAGACTCCAGTTCAAATCCACCTAGCGTCAAATTGTAATTGGAGTCAATCACTCTGTTCTTGATTAACCTCGTATGAGAGTTAGGTGGGTAGGGAACATGTAGTACTGGCCTCGTACTATGGCTGCCGCAGGTCCCCAATGGCCCAGCCAAAATTCTAAATTCCAAAATTTGAAATAATGACATAAATGAAAACAACAAATTAAAATCAAACAGCTAAACATGTTTAGCGGTTTCTTTCAGTTTAAAACACATATGAATATTCAGATAAGTACTTATTAAGAGCATCTCTTTTTGAAAATTAATTAAATTAAATATATAACACTTTCAATCTATCATTCAGTAAAAGCAAATATGGGGGGGGGGGGGGGGGAAATGCTGTGAATATTGTTCCAATGATTTATGCAAATCCAAGGTGTTGACCCTATCCTTAAGCTTCAGTCTGAATGTCTCACTACAGCATGTCAGAATAATTTTGAACATCAGGTCCAACCACAGGGAACACAATAACTGTAGTAGTGCCTGTGTCCATCCCAAAACTGTGATATGTACATTTTGTAATGTAATACAAAAATTGTGAATATTAAAGTTGAATGAGAGAATGTGATCCTTTATAGAACTCTTTTTTAAGTATTTCTTCATACTTATATAGTCAAGATATTTTTTTAATAAGATTTATAGATAAAAGATGAAATTATTGTTTTCTGTCACTTCTGATACCAACTGATCTGTGGTAATTTTACGTAATTATTTGTTTTTACCCGATACCTGTAGGTTGGTTTAGGTCAGCTGAACTACCAAGGTGGCCGTGGTATAGCAAGGAATCATAATGTAAGATAAATTATTTATATTTAGTTAACTCTGTTTTTATACAATGGTAATGGGAGTAGAGATGTTGCTTGGAGTTTAATATGTAATCCAGGGTCCTGGGCTTTTTTCTTGTCAGAACCAGGATTTTTCTTACAACACACAACCCAACTCCCTAAGCCTCATCCTCATAAAACTTATGCCTGTTTCACATGAGACAAAAGGTTGCATCAGATGCAAGCTATGTTAAATTTAGCAAGATTTTGTACTTCATCTTGTCCATGTGAATGTGAACTACTGTAGTTTAAGATTAGCATGCATTTTGTAATTTTCATTTAAGAAAAGCATACATCTCAGAGGCCTGTTTAAACACTCAAGAAATTTATCATGTATTTTGCAGATGCTTTTGCTGAATGAATAAATTTAATATTACCTAATTATTTTTTTCAGAGAGCTCTTGAGTATTTTAGAAATGCTGCTGAAGCAGGCAATGCCAATGCTCAGGCATATCTTGGAAAAGTAAGTTATACATCAAGTGGATAGTTCTTTGCTTCTGTATAGCGCCACCACTCGAAATACATAATTGAAGTTCCTAACACTTATCGTATCTCAGGTGTTCTCTACTATGTGAGCACTGAAGCATGGAGCTTTTGATGTCCATTGTAATGTTCCATCAACCTGCTCCCCTTGTGGAATGCAGGTTATAGAGTGAACAATGTTTGCTGGAATAGATATTCAAGCCAAGTGCATGCTAGAGAATGGAGTACACTCTAAGGAAAAGAGCAGGGGATTGTCTCATGCCTGGTGTACAGCTTAACCCACTTCTCCTAGTAGCTTTAACTACTGTCATTTGAACTGTAGTTAAATGTTAATTTCAGTCCTGTATATATCCAACAATCTCATTTGTGGAGTGTTAATAATATTTTTTGTCTATTGAAATTGATTTTAATGAAATAAAAAGATATTCTATTAGCTTTCTATAATATGTGATAGAATGATTTGAATTAGATTTAAATGAAGTCAAAATGTCTTCTGATGGACTTAATAGTTATAATGAACCATCCTTTTCCAGATGTATTCAGAGGGCAGTAGTGTTCTGAAACAGGATAACGCAACTGCTTTCAAGTATTTCAAAATGGCTGCCGATCAAGGCAATCCAGTCGGTGAATTTGGCTTAGGGTCCAGTTATCTACAAGGGCGTGGTGTCAAACAGGTAATATCAAATGGGTCATTATTAAGTTCTTTTTTCATTAATTGTAATACTGAACGTCTCTTGGATGTAAATATTTTCATAGCAATTTGTATTGTTGTACACTAGAGGAGAATCAGTACACAAATTAATGACTAGTGTGTTAATTTAGTTTTCATTTTCTGATTTTATTTCAAATAAAAGGTACATTCAATTGGTTAGCCCAGGAACCAAAACAAAAGTCAGGGTAACAATGATAAGAAGTATAATGCAAACTAAATATACTTACATGTTCTTTTCATTTAAGTGTATATTATACAAATTAAACATACTTAAATAAAAGTAACATGTAAATATTTCCATTCCCTTCCAAGTCACTATTAACTTATAACTGTATTTATTGCTTAGGATCAGCATAAAGCCTTCCAGTACTTCAACGCTGCTGCAGAACAAGGATGGGTAGATGCTCAGCTTCAACTCGGCAAGATGTACTTCAGTGGTGTTGGTGTAAAGAAAGACTACAAGATGGCATTTAAGTTCTTCAACTTAGCATCACAATCAGGTCATATCCTGGGCTTCTACAGCTTAGCTCAAATGCATGCATCTGGGATTGGAATAATGCGTTCCTGTCACACAGCTGTGGAGGTAGGTCGATCTATGCAGGCAGTAGGCCTACGTTTGTGGTTATAAAGTAACTGCTCATATTTTAGAATATTAATTTTTCTATTTGTTTATGAGGAATTTTCTAATGTATTAGGTAGCTATAACATTGCTAAAAAATAATTTATATCAAATTTTATGTAACAAATAACTGATATGCCTTATTTATGTGTAATATGACATCATCCTGCCCATAAATGGGCACATCACACAAATTTGTCACAACAAATTTGATGGAAATTATTTTTGAGTAATGTTATAGCCAGCTAATATTTTAGAAAATACCTTTACAGGACATTAAATAGAATTGCTTTTAACACAACAATAAACAAATACACTCTATATTAATGCCAAAACAGTTTACATAAACTGACAGGTGGGAAAATAAGGGACACAAATGGATGATAAACATATACTTAAAGTTCATACAGGGAAACTACTGGAATATATCATGAATTACAAAAACACAGTTAACATTTCGAAAATATGATAAAGGAACTACATGAGTAAGTAATAATGTATTAGTTTTAAATTTGTTTATATTGTATTGTATTTTAAAATATTTTAAATTCACATAATTAGTTTTTAACTGAAATGTAAATCATTTGTATCTTATAGTTATACAAGAATGTGGCAGAGCGAGGTCGTGTTTCTGAGATGTTGATGGACGCCCACAGTATGTATAAAAATGGAGATCCCGACTCAGCCTTTCTCCAGTACAGTTTACTGGCAGAGCTTGGCTACGAAGTAGCTCAAAGCAACGTTGCATATATACTTGATAAAGGTCAGATCAAATGTTAATGTTAATACTCAATTCGCACAAGACAATATTTTATGTTAGCTGCATGCTAGGGAAGTTTACCGTACATCTAGTAATATCCATGTAGGAAAAACGGACGTCACAGAGGCCTGTATCATTACCGAGATGTTTTACTTGGATCAGTGTGAACGCTGATAATAACAATAACTATCATAGTATATATTGCAGATACAGATCTTTTATTGTCATAAAAATACAAAGTAAAATTATGAAATTTTCCTTCCTTATTGCAAATCTACTCCAGTATAAAAATAAATATAAATATATTAGAAAGCACATACGGTATCACAAAAACACAATTCTGACTGCATTCCACTTACAACATACATTATCTTAATTTTCTCTTATTATTATTTCGAGTACAAAATTAATTTCTTAAAAATATTTAATATGAGAGCTGCTTTATGGATAAAACTATGTTTGACAATTTTTTGTGTATACTTCAAAAGAATTTATTTGTTGTCTATTATATAGAGCCCTAAAGATATAGATATGAAAAAAAAAATCATTATTGATATTTATTATAGGTGTTAAATTCATAATTAGTGTAAATAAATTTGTCTTTGTTTAGGTGAGGCTAGTCTGTTTGGCGTGAACGAAACCTATCAGAGGGCACTCTTAAATTGGCAGAGAGCTGCGGCGCAAGGTAATAATTACAATAACTCATTTTACAAACAATGATGCTTACAAACACTTTTTTATGCTGTTAATTTTAAATCCACTGTTAATGATATGTCACTTCTTGGGTTGACCCAGGTTATACAAATGCCCGAGTGAAGCTTGGAGATTATCATTACTATGGCCACGGCACTGACATTGACTACGAGGCTGCAGCAAACCACTACCGTATGGCGTATGAGCAACAGCACAATCCTCAAGCTATGTTCAACTTGGGATATATGCATGAACAGGGACTTGGGCTTAAACGAGTAAGACATGATGCTTAAAAACATTGTTTATAATGCATTTAACAAAGAATATATAACAAATAACACTTGCTTTGTATTATAATAAAAAGTTTGTTAAAATGAGATTGAGAAACACATTTCTATTAGTCAATATTTCCCATATTGTTCAGTTAGAAATATTCATGTTTAGATAAAAAATATTATTTATGATCAAGGATTCTTGTAAAATACAAACGCTGCAAACATATAGAGTATGAATATTGGCTCAAATACTGTAAAATTGATGACTAACAATATAATATTACCATTGTTTTTGTATGAAAAGCTTCATATTACAATTTCATGACCAGCAATTAAACACAGTAATTCATTTAATAAAAGCTAGAAATTTTAATTAATTCATGTGTGCCTTAATCTACGTTCACATCAAGCCCGGATTCCAGTCCGGAGTCCGGAGAAAAAATCGTGAAAAATGGATTCAGTGGTAAAGAATAGAACTGTTCACATAAATTTCGTACGATTTCTAATCCGGAACTCCGGATCCGGACCGATGGATCTGAGAGCCAATTGTATCCTGAAATCGTACGTTTTTTTTCCTTATACCAATCAGCAACAAGCTTGGTTGGTTCGAATCAATCGAATGCATACGTACTTAAACCGAATAAATAAATGCTGAATGCAGCATACAAAAAACGTAGCAACTAACGATTTTTTGTCCTGGGCTCCGGACCGGATCCGTGCTTGATGTGAACGTGCCTAATGGTAATGGCCCTTTCTGCTAAGCTATTGCTAAGGTACCACAGAATGACAGTATGAAAACTTACGCAAATTCGTGCGTTTGTGGGACAGCACATGCGATTGTACTGTAGGACCCACACATATTCGCGGCTCTGTTTTTATTGTTCACTTGTTTTTGAGTGACACTCACGAATGGTCCATTGTAATGACAAATTTGATATGTACATGTTTTTTTTTTTATCAACATACATAATCTGGTTATTTTGTTTTTGTAGGATATTCACCTTGCTAAAAGATTCTATGATATGGCAGCTGATAGTAGCACTGAAGCATATCTACCAGTGACCTTGGCTCTGACTAAATTAGCCCTTTTGTTCACTCTACAATATTTTCAAGATGTAAGTATCGTACGAGTATATAATTCAAGATTCAAGGACACTTTATTGTCCCATTTTAAAATAGGAAGTTTGTTTTTTCTTTGCAACAGTCTTGGTTAAAATGGATAAAATTACATGAAAAATCACAAGACAAAACAAGTTAAAATAGTAAAGTAGTAAAAAGTTATAATAAAAATCCATTGTGTAAAATTGTTCAAAATTTAATGTGTGTACCTCAGAGACAGACCAGCCATTTTAGCAAATATTAAAACTCTAAAAACCTTGCGTTTTGCTATAAACTTAAACTTGAATATTGCATCTGGAATAAATTAATTTTTGTATCAGCAAGTATTTGATGTTGGCACTCATGACCTAAAACCACTTTTGTTCAAATTTAATTGTAAATCCAATGGATGTGTTTTATCCCTCATTAATGCACATAATTTCTGCTCCATACAATTATGGTATAGTTTCATTACTGAATCAAGTTCAATAGCTCCCTTAATATATCGTTTACTCCCCTTAACAATTCATTCAATCACATCACAATCACCTCTGTGATTGTGATGGGTAATGGTGAAGCTCATGTATTGATAACATCAACAGAGTTCAACAACATATCACCATTCATCAACACATCACCAACACACTGTTCATTAACATCAACAGAGTTCATCAACACATCAACATCACCATTACACATCACAATCACTGTATATCAACATCAACACAGTTCATTAACATCAACACAGTTCATTAACACACACCATTTCACATCACAATCACCACTGCACATCAGCATCAACACAGTTCATCCGCATCAAATGGGTTCATCAACACATCACCATTACACAATACAATCACCACTGCACACAAGTATCAACACAGTTCATCCGCATCAAGTGGCCCTCAACAGTTTTTAGATATCAAGGTTTTAGATATCAAGCGATATCTAAAACCTTTCATCAACATAGCTCATCAAAATAGATCAGCAACTCACCAGTATCAAAACAGCTCAACATCAACATACATTAGTGCTTTATTTTCATAAATAATACATTTCACTTGCTGAATCTGTTCTGATTATGTTTCATTTGTTATTCCTTTGCAGCATACTGATTTCTGGCAACATATAGACATGGAGGCGACATTTGGACATTATTGGGATGTGTACCTGGCAACATTATTAGCAATGTTATTGGGAGTTGTGATGATACTGAGGAGAAACTGATAAAATTAGGATTGCCATAATTTTCTTTATCATTTTTTTTTATTAAAATATTTTTAAATTGACTCAAAAGGGATAAAATCATATGAGGATTCATTGATACATTTATAGACATCATCAATGTAAAATATATGTGAATAGAAAAAGAGTATTGCTTTATTAATTAATATCCATTCTGTTGCATTGTATGAAAAATATAATATATTATGATGTAAAATATGAGAAGAACAAATATTGGCCTCATCGTGATCTGTACCGGAGTAGTGGCACATCCAGGAATTTGAAATAGGAGGGGTCCAGAGAGGACTGACTTTCACAGAAAAGAATTTATACCATCTCAGTCCCTCCTTGGTTGTGGCTGAGGTATTGGGAATACAGTAAAGCACATACAGGAAACCATAATTTCATGGAAATGTATACAGTACATAACCACAATTTTGGTAGTTCCTCATCTCTTTTGTGTTATATTGTAAGCAACATGTTTTGTTTTATTTTTAGTGTTAGTGTTTCATTCTTATTCCCATGTTGGTAACATTACAGTTAAATTCTTTGTCATTGGTATTATATCATTATAAATCAATTCATTTACTTAATTTTCTCTCAGGATATTTATTCTATAATAATGTTCTTATGGTTGTTTTAAAAGAAGCATGGACATACATAAAACCTGCATACATATTTTGTAGATTTATCTGTTTATTATTTCATTGGATTAATTTTCGTTAATCCCTAATAATAAGTGGATGGTTATTAATTAATATAATACCTAATAAATTAATACTGGGCATTGGTACTGGTGAGTTAATAATTAAGTTGTTATTAAAGGTTTACATTTTATTGCAAGGTAATTTATGTATAAACTTTTTCATGGTAATTTTCAAAAGATATTGATATAGACTAGATTAGGCGAAGGTGTGATTCTTCCCGCTCCCCTCCCCCTTCTTCATACTGTATATGAAAAAAATGAGATTTTAACTGTTATAGAGGGCAGTGTAGTCTTTGAGTTTGGTTTTTTTGTGAATGTGTATCAAAGGTTAAATTGTGACGTCATAGGTCTATTGTGCGGCAATGGTTTGTAGATAAAGTTTGCACTTTTACATTCCTGGATGTTACAAGTAAACTTTGCAATTCGGTCAGCTGCATTTATATAGAAGTACGATTTTCATTTATGAACAATATTATATAATACAAAGGTTTAATTTTAATGAAAAAACCATTAATCAATATTAGTTAATTGTTTATTAATGAGTAAGTAAATTATTTAATGTTGCATACGTTCACATAATGTATTTTAGTAAACAAAGTTGAATATTGTCAGTAACATTTGTTCTTATGTTAGGTTACCAACTTAGTGCTACTGTATTAATTTTGAAGTTTTTAGGTGGGTTAATTGTGTTTTGTTTCTCTTCATATTTGATGATGATGTCATTTTTTTGTTTCTTAAAAAATATATTGTCTATTGAGTTAATGAACTTGAGTAATAAAATGAAATATTTGAATTAATGACTGTATTTTCACGCCAATTTACAAACCCATCCTAGGAGTATGAATTTATTTTTGGTGTGATTCAAACAAAGGATAAACGCAAGATGAATAAATTATGACGTCATCCGTTAACGTTTAGGTTAACGTGGTGTGGCTAAACTACCTAATTTCTATTAAATTGCTGTACTGTATATCCAATCAAATTATCGGTAGTGTCAATTGTTATCGATGCTGTTTGTTTTTGATATTGAGTGTTCGTAATGTGCCAAACAACGCATTTAATGTAAGCCATTCCACACTTATGATAAAGGTCACAATGCCCTAGAAAGAAACGCATGATTGATACGTGATAGAATATACACTACTACGGAAAATTTTGTATCATTAGATATAATAAATCCGTCATATTGTTTGTAGATCACTCAAAAAAATAAAAGAAGATAACAAACAGGACGTACAGTAGTCCGATTTGTAGCGGCGGCTCCACTCTAGTTGACGGAGCGGATCCCAATGAGGGGGACAGAGGGGTGTTGGCGACGTAAAAAAAAGGATTTTTTTCATTTATATTTTCTTCCAATTTCATAACTTACAGTATTCTAACCAATTTTTGACTTGCACACTAAATAAACAATGGCATACTAGACCGATGGTATTGCCCCTATGACACCAATAGGCCTACTTTCCTCAACTTAGCTACTATCGGATCCCCACCCCTCTTTTGTCAATACTTTTCAGTAATCAGAATGGTATTTGTAAAATCACAGGCCTACTAACCTTTCGTCTTGATCTGAAAGCAGAGACTGGGGGCGGGTGAGAGGCGAATAAGTACCTCGAAAATGACACTCTCAGACGGTAAAATTATTTTTCAATTGCAGTGCTCCTCCTCGACAAAATTATTGACGTACACTCCTACCCTATACACCCATTTTTATGGGTGTCGGGAAGGTCTAATCCAGAATAGTCTGTTCTATGCTGGGAAGCGCAACGCAGTGTGACCACTGGCAAAAATCAAAATTCCCAAGATTGAGTCTATAAAATCCCACGATTTGCAAATATTAGTGTATACATACAACTTAATTTAAGTCCAATTTTAAAGCTTTTTCAATGAATTTTATTAACTGTGCTATACGAAACTGTGCCTGGATTTTCGAGACCAATAACTATTTACGTGACACCAGGTGTTGAGTGCAAGGTTCATACCTGTCTCTTATACACATCTGTTTGGGGTGGTGGGGAATGTCTTAAACATGACAGGGCCATTTTTATTTTGTTTGTATTACACAGAAAATATTCCAGAAGCATAACTCATACTTTAGGCCTAATATAAAAAAAGAGGCGTTGATTTTTGACTTCTTTTTTCGGTAGGTGTAAAGCTGGTAATAAAGTGGTTTTGATTAATTTTATTGAACTTCCAAGTAAAGCCTTTGCAAAGTATGATATGGTGTGAGATTTTCTGGCATCTACAGTAGGCCTAGGTGCAATATTCTTGCAGCCAATATCCACCAATGGCACACATATCAAGAGATTTAACTTAAAAATAGGCTACACCTTATTATTTTTCCAAAATGATTAAAATGGCTTTAATACAAGAAGAATTGAAAAACTACTGAAGGCCTAATAAGCTTCCGATGGGTCTTTTATATTTGAATATTAAAAACCTCCTTATTCACAACTGTTACTATGGTGTTATTAGGCCATTAGAAGCGTATTTTTCCCTTATTGATAGAAAAAAATTTAAAATTTCATATCGTTCCAAAAATCCCAAGATTTTATGAAAAGTTAACAAAAATTCCCAAGATCCAAGGTGTTATTAAAAATCCCAAGATCTTGGGATAAATCCCAAGCTGTGGTCACTGTGGCAAAGCTCTAAACTTGGAAGCCAGATTCCGAGAGGACCATGGCCCGAATCAACGATGATAGTTCACATGTATTAATTTAGGCCATTATTCTAGCTGGGTCAGGTCCCGTCGGGGAGAGTTTCCCCACCCCCCCCCCCCCTAGGGGGCCGAAAAAGCACAATTCGTCAGTGAGAAAAAAAAATTATATGTACAGTATTTTCTAGTAGACTAAAATCGATTAAATAGGCCTTTGAAACCCCGAAATTGTCAAAATTTTCTAGGCTTTGGCCCCTGGACCACTTTCTTTTAATCGAAGCTCGAACACGCTTTCGTTGAGGAAATCTGACCCCTCGTTGAGGGCATCTCCCCCGGTCGGGTAAACCCTGGCGTTAACCCTGTATCCTTATTCCAACCTTAGTGTACTAATGATCCACCTGATGGAGGCCTGAACGCACTCCGGAGAGTAGGCCTATTGTACTTTTTAGATTGTTATATAATTTGGTCTAAACAAATATAATTCAACATTTTTGTTTTTCTGTCTGTTTACGGATACAATGTTATTTCATCAGTGCACATGTTTAGTTGTGTTCAGACTGCAGGTTAGGCACAGCATGGCTGTGATTTATTATTATTTACGTGACACCAGGTGTTGAGTGCAAGGTTCATACCGCTCTTGAGATTACAAGTATCAAAACATTTCATTTTACATCATTAATACTGTATAGCCTAACCTTTAGTCTCCACGTCTATTTTCCCCGAATACGTGATCCTTCATATGTGGAGGGAGACTGATAGCAAGTCGATATTCGGTCATCTGGCTACAGTTTGCATGAGGACGGTGGTAAGTAATAGTAATTGACTTCAGTCCTGTAGTAAATTAATATTAGCAATTTCCCGAAGGTCGACGCACAATCTTTACAATGAGACAATCATTTAGGATAAGCACAGACAGTAACATATGGCTCGTATCGATAAGCTATCTAAATCCAATAACACCATCAATGGTCTGTTGGACACGTGACCACATTCCTGGTTGCTAATAGGCCCTTACCTCTGCACTTCACAACTTTTCATCATACCATATTGTTTTCATAACATCTTGAAACTTCTGATAAGAATTTAAAAAATATAATTCCTCGAATTTCATCAGTACCGCTCAGTTCCTTTTCATACATCTTGACGATTTCAGTAGGCCTAAAGCTCGATTTGTACCGTACTTTTGTTTACCATAAGAAATGGCTTTTTTGTAATGTAGGGGGCCTAGTTTATATATAATAGGCCTATAGGCATAGGCCTTATACAAATGGATAAATAATAATAACAGTGCTCAACTTATTATTTATCTATTTGCTTATATTGTGTTTAGGATGCTACGTAGCAAACCATTGTTATTATTATTATTATTATTATATATTATACAGGCCCTATATATACAGTATATATACTGTCTCTTATACAGCCTTTAAATCTTGCCCAATTTTAGATGTGTATAAGAGACAGGGGCCGCCCAGGGCCCCAGTGGGGGTCCAGGGGGCTTCACCCTCTGGAAGCCACGGATATTTGATAAATTATAGCGAATTTTTATTAATTATTTGATAGGAATTGAGTTACTATAATATGACTTCATGCAGGCTATGCTTTCTAATGTTGAAATCAGCTTCCAAAACCAAACATTTTGAATGAAACAAGAAACAAAGAGTATGCAATGTAACCATCTAATTAAGTGAAATTCTATATTTTGGGAATTTTGCATGAAATCCGTCAACCACGCTTTCATGGTCGAGGTTGCTTCACCTCAGTACGACGTATTCCAACCATCATGAGGCTATCTAAATGAGCATTTGTCATAACAGAACGCAAATTATTTTTAATTAGTCTCATTGAATTATTATTATTATTATTAATATTATTAATATTATTATTATTGTTATTGTTATTGTTATTGTTGTTATAAAAAGTTAACACAAACAATATGGTGGCTAAACGAATATTACATGTAAATATTTTTTTTTATTTGGTTGTTCCCCGACAAAACTTATATCCTCCCCCCGGTCGGGGGGGATATAGCCCCCCTCTGGCGCCACTACTGCGTAGCCTACGTATTACTATAATTACGTAAGTAGGCCTGCGTATTACTACCAGGTACGTACGTATTAATATGTACCTATAATACTATCACGTACATTAGCATATTAGTAGGCCTATCACATACGGACGTATTACTATCACAGTCGAAATTGACGAATTAGTTAATTGGTAATAACGAATTAGTAAATCCGTATAACGGATTAGTAATTCGTTAATACAGATACTAAACATAATACTTTAGTGGCACTAATGGGCTTTCGTAGTTTTTCTTGACGCGTCAGCAGTGCGCTTAAAAATACGGTATGCAAATATTGTAATTAATGCATGACCTGCAAATGCGGCCATAGTTTCCGGGTCAGATAAACATTGTATTGTGTATCTTGGTAGACACTTACTTCGAAGGCCTAGATTTATGGTGTTAAACTGAAACAATTGTAAGCCGTGACATTTGTAGGTTTGTTACACACTTAATGATGAGAGAGTAGCACTAGCAGCACATTTTATTATTATTATCAACATTCGGTTGATGAAGAAACACTGATTGATGTTTACTCTCTCAGTACAGTGGCATTGCATAAGTACGGAAGGAGGCGTGTGCACGATATGGAACAGGTCCAGCTGGTCCAAATAGACAATCGAACTAGGCTAGGCCTAGGAACAGGTTCAGCTGGGAACAGGTTCAGCTGGTCCAAAGAAAGAATCGAGCTAGGTCTGGACTAGGCCCTAGTCCCACTTGTTTAATTAGGTGCAAACAAAGGCTTAATATTTATAGCTGTCACAGTCATCATGCCAAATTTATCTAGTTCTAGATTTAATAAATAGGCCAGCTAGGAGCAAGTCAGGCCTAGGCTAGGCTAGGCCTCTAGGTATAGATGATCCGTATAGCTAGCTGGCTGGCTGGGTGATTGTGTTTAAAGCCTATTCTGCTGAGTACTACTTTCTTTGAATATTTGATTAAAATAATCCTTTTCTCAAAAAAAATATTTTTCATTACCTCTAGGCTATGTTTTTGATGTATGATGTCATCGCCTATGAACATCTGTAGAGAAATCACCACTGCGCATTTAACACTTCTTGAAGAGAAATGCTCTAGCTCCAGCAGTAGTGAAGATGAGGCAGAAAAATCAGAAGATAGTGATGAATTTCCCATGGCAGCATATGGTAATGTAAAATCACCAGAAATAGGTTTTACACCTAAAACAGGAATGAATGATTCCTGTCCAAGTGTTGAAGGACTAGAGACAAATTCACAATCAACCGAGCCGCTGAAGACTCGTCGTTCTCATAAGAATGCATCAACGGATCGTGGTCTACTTGTTGATTCGGAGAGTAGGCGAAGGTTGTGTGTTGTTTGTGAGGACTATGCTTCAGGATATCATTATGGTATAGCCTCTTGCGAAGCCTGTAAAGCATTCTTTAAACGAACTGTTCAGGGTGAGACATACATTCCATATGGTCTATTTTATCTATTTTGAAGACAGTGGCTGTTGTTAATAACTCACTATTACTCACTAATTTTGATTGGATGTTATTGTTTGTATGGATTGAATTAGTAACAGTAACAACCAATCAGAATTAAAAATTCATTTAATACTGGTGTGACAATAGCCACTGCCTTTTTGAAAAGGCTAAACAAAAATACAATCCTTTATTAAGTACATTGTTTATCATAAAAGGCCTTTAAATCTTGCCCAATTTTCATAACAAAGCTCATGGCTTTTTAAAATTTATTGAGTATCATTGAAGAAAACAAAAACAGCCAGCAGGCACCTCAATATTATATTTATGTTTTTTAGAGGAGTAATTATTGAGAACTGTGTTGATTTCAATTCAGTGGGAATTCTCTGTGGCTCCCAGCCGACCCCAAATACTAAAAATTGTAAAAATATTGATAAAAAAGAGAAAATTATATTAAAGTCTGAGAGTGCCACAACTGAGTCCCTTTTGAAATAGTTATGAAGGTTCCGATTGTCATATCAGTATTTATTACTAGCCTAGGCCATTGGGGTAGGGGGTTAAAAAGAACCACTTCTTGCGATGAATTTTCTGAAAATGTGAAATCAGTGCACCTAGTACTAGAATTTTCAATCTTTTAATTCAAGATTTAGCTTCCTAAAAAATTTAAAATGTTTTTAGCTTTCGTGAAATCCCCTACCCTATCCCCCGGGAAAAAAATTGGCGGCTCCACCCACACCCTCCCACTATCCATAACTCAGGCTTACAACCCTTGATTGATGCTTCACATCAAAAGGGCCTGTTCTCGCCTAGCTACGTCATTTGTATAAATGATGATAATTCCTAACTTAAAGATGTACTGCCCCTTGCAAAAAACCAAAAAAAAAATCATAAAAATCATTTTTGAAATTGAGTTGCCCATTTTGAAGTAATATAAAAATTATCAACTTGAGCATAGAAATTAGTGTAATTGAAAAATGCTTACCCATAAAAACCTTCATTTTACTGCGAAAAAATTATAGAAACTTACAGTCACATAATTTTCCAGTTAAAAATCAGGGAACACACTTTTTTAATTTGATATTCTATGCTCAAGTTAATAATTTTTATGTTACTGCAAAATGAGCAAGTTCATTTAAAAATAATTTTTTTATGATTTTGGTCATTTTCAAGGGAGAGTACATCTTTAAATATTATCAAAGAAAAGAAAGGTAAACACAGTGCAGGTATAGGACTATGTATGCAGCATTGATGATCTTAGTTGATGTGAGATTTTCCTAGAAAAGTATTTTAACTGGAGTGCTTATTTTATTGTACATAATAGGGCAGATCCAATACACTTGTCCTTCCAATAATAATTGTGAAATCACAAAGAAGAGGAGGAAGACATGTCAAAAATGTCGATATCAAAAGTGTATTAGAATGGGAATGCTGATAGAAGGTATGTCTAAATGAATGTAGGTGCCAGTCATTGCTTTTAAAACTTCATAATGCACATTTATTTTGTTCTTCATATACCTTTTTTAACCAAAATTTTGTTTCAGTATGTCTCATGAATGAATTAATCACTAAACTAACTCAATGGTTAGATTCATAAAAGTTCTTACTAGCAGCTTGTGTTATTACTTTTTATCCTTTTTTAAGAAACCATCTTGTAGTTAAGTGTGAATGCCCATGTCAAAAGTCAAGGCATTTAAAGGTCAGGACATGCAAATCATAAGCAGAGCTAGTTCCAAGTCTACTAAAAGTCAATTTTCAATGGCATCTCACACAAAAATATAGGATGTTGTAATGTAATAGAAAAAAGTTACCTTTCAAAGTCAATGGCTTTATTTCCAAAAACTTTCAAGCCATTATAGATTGCTTGTAAATTTTGATTATTTCATAATTAAACAGGTAATCTATTATTGTTTTGATTTCCCTAACAAGCATCAAGGTTTTTATTTCCAATTATACAACTTAATTACTGTAGGGTCAAATTGATCCTCATCTTATAAGTGACTTGTTTTTGTTTATTGAATTTTTAATGAATTTAGAAAATGTGTTCGCCCTTTCCAACAACTCTTTATACCTGCTTGATTGTTATCTATATGTTTTTAGCAACATTTTTTTGCTTGATATCTGACAAAAATTACACTACTTTCACCAGTTACAGAATGCACTAATTTGATGCTCATTAACTACAGCTCCATCCAGATTATTAATTTTCCTTGACAAAACACCGTTGTATGCCCATATATAGTCATAATATGCCTATATATGGTCATAATGTGATGTCATGATATTATTTAGGCCGCATGTTACATTTGGTAGTCTGGACAGAGTTGTAGTCTGATGAGAAGCTTAAGTGGAGTAGCGAAGAAAATATTTGTACCAGAAGGCAGGTATTGGTAAGGCTAGCACTTGGATGACTCATTCACAGCTGATTATTCATAGAGCAATTGACAAAAACTAAAAACAAATGTAAAAATAAATAATAAAAAAAAATTAAATAAAATTAATATAAATAAAAATAGAATACCACACAGCCTAATGCTAAGTTTTCAAAACTGAGCTAGAGAAGCAAAGCCTTTGTTAGTAGTTACCGCTTAGATAAGAACAAACTGATCAAATTAGGTTTTTTCTTATCAACATTTATTAATGCTGTATGTGAATTGTATTTGGACCGTTTTGAATTTCATACTAAAATGCTTATACCATTAATGTGTAATTGCTTATTGACAACAGCATTGAAAATACGTGTGTTTTGAAGTAACTGTATTGTAGGGAAAACTTTACATTATATTTATTAATGAAATGCTTCTTTTTTATTTAAAGTTAGCTAGATATTCACAATAAAGCCCCAGTCATAGATTACCATTTGTTCCACCTTAAAGAATGGTTATATAATAATTAAAATGATGACTACGATGATGATTAAGATGATGATGACCATGATGATGATAATGGTGATGATGTAAAGCAACATCATTCTCAACATAAATGGTTGTGATGATGGTAGTGGTGGTGATGATGATGATGACAGTGGTGGTGATGATGTGATGATGATAATAATTTAATAATTAATAAATATGTTCATTCATCTATTCCTTATGCAGCTTAATGACACTGATTTTAAAGATGTTTTGCTTTGATGTTTCTTATTTTGATTCACAGTTTCAGGAACCAACTAGATGTTATATATACACTGTAGTTAAAATAATTTAATTTGCATGTGGTAACTAGAAGAAATATGTTATCAACTTCCAATGAGAATTGCAGATTTCTTACCATGAAAATCGTTAAGTTGGTTACAATGCACGTTACTTGACAAGTTAAGGCTCTAGGCAAATTATGTAAGCATGGTATGATTTAAGCATCTGTTTATGGTTGGCATTACAAAGTGATTTGCCGACTAAAACTCGAATTTGTCCATCCTTAAATTTAGGGTTGGAGTGCGCCCTCACTAATCATCATGAAAATGCTTTTGTACAGGATGCCTACTATTGACAATGGAGGCTACAGTACATAAACACATTATCATCATACCAAAACATATTTTCCTTGGTGTACATTCTTATAGTAAAACACAAATACTGTAG